GGCACACAACTACCACCATTACCAGATTCTTTAAAATACAAGTTTGTATCTTTTTGCCAAATTTGGAGTACTTTCAGCAATTATTTCTTTTAGTATCTTTTAAGAACCACCTTCATTCTCCTTTCCTTTTGGAATTCTGATGACACAATGTTTTATCTTTTGTTACAATGCCACAAGTTCCTGAGGTGCTATTCACCTTGCTTCTTGCTTCCTCCCCACCTCCATCTATTTTCTCTCTGTATTTTAGACCTGTTTGTTTCTGTTGTTATATCATGGGATTTACTAAACATTTTATCTATTGTCTCCAATCCACAGATAAGTTCATCCTTGTTTTTTTATTTTTCTAAAATTCTTATTTGCGAGTCTTCTTTTTAACTCTATGATTGCTGAGTCTATTTTTGCATTTATTTCAAATGTGTCCAGAATTGCTCAGTGAAGACTTTTTATGATGACTACTTTAAAATCCGACAGACAATTTGAAAATCTATCATCTCACTGTTGGCATCTTCATTTTTTTATTCTGTTTGAGATCTTCATGTTTCTAGCTATGAGTCATTTTCTTTAGAAACCTGGCTATAAGATTCCAAATATTATTTCAACCTGTTTTTATTGGTTTCTTCTGACACCACTCCAACAAGGGAAGTGTGTGTGTTAGTGTGTGTGTAGCAGAATTTCATTACTTTAAGGTAGGTGTAGAAGATCAGCTTCTCTATTCGGCTTCTGGGACACTTGGTTTACTGCAGAGTGGAGGTGAGAGAACCTGGTTAAAGACTGGGGATGGTGGTAGTCTGGGCTCCCCTATGTGGCCTTTGTAGGTATGTGTGTAGGGATATGCTATAGTTTTTCCTGCATTTTCTAAAAAGTTTTCTGTCTTGTGAGGTTGTGCCTTTCCTGGTCCTTTGGCTATAGACTGCTGGCTTTCCTTAAGATGTTTTTATGTTTGTTGACTGAGTTGCCAGATTCTCTAACATCCAGTATGGGATACAAAGGGCAATAAGGAAACCTAAGGCACTCACTGCCAGGTCATTTCTCAAGTACCCAAGTCACTAGCCAGTCATCTTTTTCCTCACTTTCTTAAATTTGTTTCATATGTAATGCCCTGGGTTTAGAACGGGGCAGTGATAAACTAAGGGTACTAGGAAAGTTTTAACTTGGCCAAAGTAAAATAAGATCTGGACAGTCACAATGGCTATAGTTAAAATATAGCTCCTTCCCTAACTACTGGTCATAGTTAATTACTATCTCAAAGTTAATCTATTTTAAAAGAGATTATTCATTTCTTTTTTAAATTGGTAGCTAATCCTCACTTCAAGGACTATCCCAAGAAGGAAGAAAAACAGAACACATTTCTTGTGAAGGCCACTGATAGCCACTACTGAGAAAAACAATGCCTGTTAGAGACAGCATATCTAGGACTGTAAATACAACTTGAGATAAACAAAGCAACAAAGACGTTTCTGATTCCTACGTTGTTTAGTGCTGTTGAGCTGGTTCCAACCCATAGTGACTCTGTATAGGGTTTCTGTGGAGCAGCTGGTGAGCTTGAACCATCGATCTTGTAGTTCAAACTGACAATGCAGTCCAGTGCATTAACCCAGAGTGCCACACCAGGACTCCTATAAATCCTCCCTCCCCTTTTTCCTCAAGGAGGCAGAACAGGGAGATTTCTGCTCCCCTGTTCTCCTGTACATTAATACAAAATAAATGCTTTGCTCTTTGCTCTGAGCCTCTAAGTATTGGTTATATAGATGTGGGTGATTTCGGCTCCCCTGTCCTCTCCCATGTATCGACATACAATAAATGCTTTGTTTTCAGTCTGAGCTTGTATGTATTGACTATATTATATTGGTGGCAGATTATTAAAAAAGCTCTTTTCCAGTTATAGGTTTAGTTGTATTTTGATGGGATGAATACACAAAATTTCATCTATTCCATCTTCCCAGAGCAGAAATTCCTAAGCTTATTATTTTATATTCCATCAGTTTCCAAGTCATGCTAAGAGAACAAGGCTTCATTTTACTCTCTTTGGATCAAAAGAAAAATTTAGTCTTAAAATATTAAATGTCTTTTATGTAATTAATAATGTGGTGTTAACATTATGTAATGCCAGTGAAGTCATGGTGTGGTGCTGTCGGTTAAATGTGCCAGACTGTAGAGCCGGTGCAAGGTCGGTGGTTCAAGCTCACCAGCTGCTCCTCGGAAACTCTATTACAGGGTTTCTATGGGTTGGAATCTACTTAACAGCACTTAACAACAACAATGCCAGTTTACTAATGCTCTAAAAATAAAATCTTGTCAAATTATTTCTTAAAATTCTTGGCTTCTGGGAAAACATTAATTTACACTGCTAAGTACATGATGATCTCTCACAACTATGGGAAATTTCTGCTAGACCAAAGTTTACAATTATTTTATTAATCACAGGTACAGAAATTTTATAATAAGTACTACCAAAACATTAATGGAATTCTTATATTTCATTCAAATGTTCATCAAAAAGACAAAAGTAATTGCTACTTACAAATAAAATGTACTGGTAATTGCTAAGAAAAATTAATATAAAAGCATCAGAAGGAGTCCTGGTGACATCAAAACTGGAAATCTAGAATTGCTTTAAAGTCATTGATCTTGTCATCTGACTTAACAGTATGGTTAAAATGTACAAAATTTTGGTTTCATGAATCTCAAATACCACAAGAAAACATATAATCAGTAAGGTTGTTTCAAATGTTTTAAGTACTTACCAATGAAATATTAGCACCTTATTCTCCTGATGGGAGTCCTGGTATAGTGCTGTGGATTAGTGCGCTGGATTGCAAGGTTGATTTGAATTATAAGGTCAGCAGCTCAAGCTCTCCACAGCTGCTCCTTGGAAACTCTATACAGGGTCGCTATGAGTCAGAACCAACTCGAGGATACTTAACAACAACAATATCCTGATGTGGCACTCTAGGATAAGCACTGGACTGCAAAGTCTGCTTGAACTGCAAGGTCAGAGGTTCAAATTCAGGAGTCACTTTCAAAAATTGTATATAGGGCTGTTGTTATTAAGTGCTGAATATGAACCAACTTAACAGCACTTAATAACAACACAATTTCAAATACAGTACACAGTTCAACAAAGGGACAGAACAGATTACTTAGGGTTTGCTGTGCAAAGTGAACTATTACTCTCATATATTACCAAGTTTTAAATATTGGCTATAATAGGTAGAGCATTAGTTGGTGGTTGTACAAAATATATTAAGAACAATTACAGAGAATTGCATCAAGTATAACCACCATCAGTTGCTGCTGAGTTAAATTCTGACTCATGGTGGTTCCATGTGTATCAGAACAGAACTGTGTGCTCCGCAGAGTTTTGGATGGCTGATTTTTATGTAAGTAGACCACCAGGTCTTTTTTTTTGAGGTGCTTATGAGTGGACTTGAACCTGCAAACTTTTGATTGGCAGCCTAGTGTGTTAACACCCCCCAGAAACTTCAAGTAAACAACTGAGTTAAGAGTTACTCTTTGAAAAAAATACCAATGCTGTTGAGTTACTGTTGTCAACTGCTAAATCCAGGGAGTATTTAAGAATTACTGTCTAAGAGGAGTCCTGGTGTGGTGCTGTGGGTTAATGCAATAGACTGCAAAGCTTTTTGAACTGTAAAGTCAGTGGTTCTAGCTTACCAGTTGCTCTTCGGAAACCCTATATAAGGTCACTATGGGATGGAGTCGACTTGATGGCACTTAACAAAACAACCAACAACTGTCTAAGACACAGAGCCAATTGCTGCCTAAGACCCCATCCTCTGCCACTTTTACAACAATTGGATTCTTTCAGTCCACTGGTTTCTAGAACTCCTTTCTGCAGATCCTCTTAAAGATTCTTACCCAGAAGGTAACAATTACAACATTACTTTGATCAAACTGCTTACTTTCTCAGGCTCACTTTTAATAAAATATAGTAATAAATTTTTATTAGAGAGTCAAAGAGGATTAACTGTTTATACATAGTATATAACCAAGGATTCCTGGTAATGTAATGGATTATGTTGGGCTGCTAACATCAAGGCCAGCAGTCTGAATCTACCAGTTGCTCCCTAGGAGAATGATGAGGTTTTTCTGCTCCTGTAAAGATTTACAGTCTTGGAAACCATATATAGGGTTGTTATGAGTCAGAACCAACTGGGTGGCGTACAACTACCACCACTACATCCAAACACATATATAAAAGAAGAACACAGAATGTACAAAAAAACTTCCATAGTTCAGGTTGATCAATGGAAATACATAGAGGAGAAATCAAATTTTCATCTAATTAAAGATAGTTTTATAAAGCATGGAAAGTCTTAATAAAAATTAAAATGTTATATAGCAATAATATAATATATACTTTTCCTATTTAAACAGAATCCAATGCCATCAAGTCAATCCTGACTCATGGAGCAGCTGGTGGGTTTAAACCGCTGACTTTATGGGTAGCAGCCCAACATTTAACATACCAAGTAACAAAGCAGATAACAACAGCTACAAATGCTTTGTGTCTTGAAAAATTTCATTAGTGTTGGGCCCTCCTAAGCCTCAAAAAAATGCTGGTAGGGAAAACATATACAAAGATGTGTCAAAGCATTCAGAGAAGAGAATTTTAGGGTCTAGTAGCGTAGTGGTTACGAATCGGACTGTGAGCCACAAGGTCAGCAGTTCGAAACTACCAGCTGTTCCGTGGGAGAAAGATGAGGCTTTCTGCTCCCGTAAAGATTTACAGCCTTGGAAACCCTGTACAGGGTTGCTATGAGTCGGAACTGACTCCACGGCACATAACAACAACAACAACATAAAGTGAACATCACAAGACATTTTAAAGGGAAGAAAAGCAGGTATCTTTTCCTGTTTGATGGTATTTTCAGACATGAGCTTATTGAAGCTTATTGGTATTAATAGATAAATATGATGAGATATAAACCATTTTCACTAAGTAAAAACATAACAAACATTTTAAAAGGCCTCTTACTTACCTCTTCTACGTTGGAAGCAGTCTTAGCAGAAGTTTCCATGAAGATAAGTCCGTGCTCTCTTGCGAAAGCTTCACCTTCTTCTTTTTTCACTTCTCTTCTAGATTCTAAATCACTAAAGAGGGGAAGAAGAGCATTTTTATTAATCAGTAAGATACAAATTGAGGTATCTGTGAAAAAGCATACCATAGGAATCAAAGTTATACCGATCATTCTCTCAACTAATCTTTTAGAAATTACTACTGTGATGAAATATATATATATACGTAAATGTTAACCATTTGGACTCATATAGTTAAAGATAGTTTAAGAGAGGTGTTTCATAGATACTGTTTATCTATTTTTCAAATAAAATTTAATTTTAAGACACAAAAGTTCTAAATTATTAAGTGATTCCTTATGCATGGTGGAATTATAGAATGCTTTAAGAAAGGTATTTAAAAAATTTAATAGGTATGTATCATTATTTTAGGGGAGGAGAGGGTAGGTAGGAGTAAAGAATAAGGGTTAGAGCTGAGACTAGGGAGTGTTAAGGTATGAACTAAGCTAGGCTAGAAGTAAGGCTTTGTTTAGTTTACAAAATTACAGTTATGTTTGTTTTTTTTTTCCTTGAAATCTATTTGATTATCGGTTCATTTGGAAGTTCTGTATGACTATTCTGTCATTATGCTTTATGGTTGTTGTTTTTTTTTTTAAGTTTTTATTTTGAATTGACTGATAGTTTACATGGGAGAATATCAGTTTTACACTCATCCTATCACATTTCATTGCACAGCATTCGGTATGGGTTACATCTCAATGTAAAGAAAACAAAAATCCTCACCACTGAACCAATAAACAACATTCTTATCAACGGAGAAAAGATTGAAGTTGTCAAGGACTTAATTCTTCTTGGATCAACTATCAACACTCATGGAAGCAGCAATCAAGAAATCAAAGGCGTACTGCATTAGGCAAATCTGCTGCACAAGAACTTTTTAAAGTGTTGAAGAGCAAAGATGTCAGCTTGAGGACTAAGGTGTGCCTGACCCAAGCCATGGTATTTTCAATAATCTCATCTGCATGCGAAAGCTGGACAGTAAATAAGGAAGACTGTAGAAGAACTGATATTTTTGAGTTACAGTGTTGGAGGAGAATATTGAAAGTGCCATGAGTTGCTAAAAGAACCAACAGAACCGTTTTAGCTAAAGAAGCACAGCCAGAATGCTCCTTGGAATGGATGTAAGATAGCCAAGCTTCGTCTCTCATACTTTGGACATATTGTCAAGAGGGACCAATTGCTGGAGAACGTTATCATGTTTGGTAAGGTGGAGGGTCAGAGAAAAAGAGGAAGACCCCTAATGAGATGGATTGGCCAAGTGGCAGCATTGATGGACTCAAGTGTGGCAACAGTAGTGAGGATGGCCCAGGATTGGGCAATGTTTTGTTCTGCTGTGCATAAGGCCACCATGAGTCGGTACAGACTAGATGGCACCTAACAACATCATCATCCATAAGTATAGGTCAAGTTCATCAAATTGTAGCAATTTACACTTGTTTCCTTTACTAAATTTCCTTATCTTCCTCTAGTTGAGTTCTGATCATCAAGTTATCAAACTTATGTCAAAGGGGTACTATCTGCAATTTTGGGTATTCTTGTGTGTCTCCCCTTACTTCATATCAGCTGGACACTTCACTCTCCGTGGCTATGTCCTTGTCCATAGGCTCAGGAGTTCCCCATTCTCACCATACATCAGATCAACCAGTCATTCCTCTTCTCTCTCTCTCATCTCCAGGTCGACGGGAGTCTATGGAACATGGTCGAACTCAGCCCATATTTTCTTTGCTGCCTTTTCCCCACCTCCACTCACCAACAGACCAACGAGCTTTCTAGTAAGCTTACATGCTTCCTCGTGTGCTCCCTTTGAGTTTCAGTCTTGGAGGAGGGTTTGTATGAAAGGGACTTGATTGCTCGCCTTGAATGCTCCCTGGCAAACAACTTGCTTGTTTTTGTATAGCTAATCAGACTGCCATTTTTGTTTTTTATTTTCTTCCTGGTCTTTCTTTCAAGAAGTATCTTCTGTTCCTCTAGCTGCTCCAAGCTGGTCTGCTTGTCCTTTCAAGTGGGGAAGACCCACCTTAGAAGGTTTTGGATGGGGCTCAGGATTCCACTTAAGGTCTTATACACTATAAAGGCTCCGTGAGACGCCTATTTCACGAGGCATGTTCTACAACCCCTTTTAGGCATTACAATGAGTTACATGCTGAAGACGGGCTTAAAAGCTTTCTATAATCATGTTTTCTGATATTCCTTTCTATCCTATTCAAGTGTCTAGTTTATAATAATAGGTAAGGGAAACCAATAGTCATAAGACAGTCAAGCATCTAAACATTATTTCCCCTCTTTTACCCATTCAGACTATGCTTCCATCTCTGTATGGAGCCCTGTTGTTCCAAGGTTGAGCATACATCACTATTTACCTCTGTCCCATTTAGTCCATGCAAATCTGTGTAAGTGTTCCCCTATCTACCTTGTTCTTCCATCACCTTCCTCCTTCTTATGTACTGCACACTCCAAAACACTATGATATGTCTATCCCTTACCCTGTACTCTATCATCCCCTCCCTCCCACCCATGGTAACCAACAAAGATTTTTTTTTTCCCTTTTAGCATGGGTATCTTTTTTAAAGCTTTTATAATAATGGTCTTATGCAATATTTGTCTTTTGTTGACTGACTAATTTTACTCAGCATAATGTCCTCAAGGTTCATCTATACTATGCAGTGGCTTTTAGCTTCCTTGTTATTCTTCAAGGTAGCATCATATTCCAGTTGTGTGTATGTACCAAAGTTTGTTTATCCACTCTTCCATTGATGGGTACTTAGGCTATCTCCATTTGTGTGATATTGTGAATAGTGTTACCATAAACATTGGTGTGCACAACACGAGAAGATATATGCACACCAAGGTTCATAGCAGCACTATTTACAATAGCCAAAAGATGGAGACAGCCAAAGTGCCCATCAACTGAAGAATGGATAAACAAACTGTGGTACATACACACAATGGAATATTATGCTACCTTGAAGAATAACAAGGAAGCTGCAAGCCACCGGTTAACATGGATGAACCTTGAGGGCATTATGTTGAGTGAAATTAGTCAGTCACAAAAAGAGAAATACTGCATCAGACCACTACTGTAAAAGACTAAGAAAAAGAACCCACACTAAAGGGTGGTGGGGGTATTCTTCGCTGATTGCTGGAATGTTGGGGGTGGGGTGAGGGAAGGGATGGAAAGGTAGAGCACAGGGCAGGGATTAGATACAGGATAGTATGGGTGCTGGGGAGGGGGGCAATACACAAAAAGGGAGAGAGGAATGGAAGAACAAAGCAGAGGGGAGAACAATTAGGTAGGTGTGAATGGGCTAAGTAGGACAGAGGTAAATAATGATGTAGCACAACCTTGAAACAACAGGACTCTGGGGTACACGGATTGAGACATGGTTGGAATAGGGAAAAGGGAGGAAATAATGTTAAGATGCTTGGTTGTCTGAATCTTGGTATTCCTTGTATTACATTATAAAATAGACACTGGAAGGGGAGAGAAAGTAAAAGCCAGAAATATTACCACAGAAAGCCTGTAAGTCCATCTTCTGCCTATAACTGATTGGAATACCTAAAATGGGGATACAGCGTGCCCAGTGAAGGAGGCTACCTGTGGAGGCTCTGCATTACATAAGAGTATAGGTGGAATCCTGAACAGCATCCAGAATCTTCAGAGGTGTAAAATTTCCCCGAGAGGACAGGCAGACCAATCTGGAGTGGCTGAAGAACAGAAGATACCTCTTGAAATAAAGACAGGAAAAATACAAAACAATAGAGGCAGACTGACCGATTATAAGAACAAGCAAGTTGCTCACCCAGGAGACATCAAGGCAATGGGTTGGGCCCCCTCAGAGTAAACCCCCTTCCAAGACTAAGACTCCATGGGAATACACGCTGATGGGTGACCTCATTCGCCACTGACAAAGGGAAGTGAGGGAAAAACAGCTATGAGGCTGCGAGCTAAGCCCTACAACGTTCAATATACTCCGTGAACCCAGGTGGAAACCTAGTTGTCCAGCAGTGTGGCTTTCCTGGAGACTCTTGGGGCCAGAGTCAGGGAACTAGTCATGGAGGACTGGAGTGGATAGTGAAGTATCCAGTGGATAAGAAGAGAGGGCATACCCACAAGAGCACCCACACTTGCAGATAATACCCATTTGACCTAGCCTCAATGACT